CTAGTCGCTATGAGTCTGGTCCGACTCGACGGCACATAACAACAAAAACAACAGTGCTGCTCTGACAAGAATATAATACAAATGGGATAACTTGAATAAACAGGAGTTTATTCTTTCACAGTATGGGAGGCTAGAAGTCTGAGTTCAAAGTGCCAGACTCTAGGGGCTGTGTGAAAGCCCCCCAACCTTGGGCTTCAGCTCTGCCTCTTGCTCCCAGCCCACTGAAGCTAGAGGCATCTCTTCACTTAGGCAGCTACTGGCTGCTGAGGCTAACAAAACCAAGTTCAACAAATAAAATGGCATAGTCCCGATGTTACCAAACCTCATGACAGGCCATTAATTCAAGTCCATTGAAAGTCCCGAGGTCTGCAGAGCATGGCAGGCTGCTGAACAACGACACGGCTACATGCAAGGCACAAGTGTGCCATAAGCTAGAGACCATTCCCAAAGCTGTTTCTTATATACAGGAGCAGATCACATTTCCCCAAGGCAGCTACACAGCTGCTCACAGTAGATTCCACCATAGAGTTGATTACCAGTCTCATCATGCGAAGTACTACATCCAGCTGCCTAGCCACTCAACCAGACCTAGCCAAGTTGACACACAAACTTAACCACCAAAATAGCAAGTAAATTTCTTTCAATAAATCTTTTAAACAGTCTGTTGCAACTCTCTTGTTGTTGTTGCTAGGTGCCTTCAAGTCCACTCTGACTCATAGCTACCTTAAGTACAACAGAAGGAAACATGCCCGGTCCTGTGCCAGCCTCACAATCCTTGCTATACCTGAGCCCATCGTAATATGTATATATCCTTTCTCTATAAATAAAAGTTTGTTGTTGTTGTTGTGTGCTGTTGAGTCGGACCTGACTCATTGCAACCCCTCCTTGGGTTTCCAAGGCAGTATCGCTATGGTAATAGATTGCCCATCCTTCCTTTCAAGGAGTGGCTGGTGGGTTTGAACTGCCAGCCTCTGGTTAGCAGTCAAGTGCCTTAGGCACTATGCTACCAGAGCTCTGTAAATAAAAGTATACTAACTTTAAATTATAACAAATATTTAACTTAATTATTAGGAAATTACCTAAAGATCTTGAAATTACATATATATATATATAATCTAAATTTAGCCTTTTAAAATTGTACCAACTAGTTTGGGAAATTACGTTTTTGCCCAAATGACTAATTTATGAATATAAATTCAAACTTCTGCCTTGAAGTGGAAATATTTTTCAAGTCTCTCCCATGTGTAATATCTGTTTTGGCTTTATAGAGTTCTCTTGCAATGGAGAGAATCTGCCCATAATCCTCCACGATGGGGAGCCACCTAAATTTTCTGATCAGTATAATAAAATAGCATTTTTCCTTATTCTCTTTTGTCTGAAATTGTCAACATTTTAAAAGCTTCCCTCAAATATTGACTAAAGAAGTGGGATCTTGCCTTTCCCTCCTACCTGGTCTCACGTTCAAAGACAAGAATGTTGTTGTTATGTGCCGTCAGTCAGACCCGACTCATAGCGACCCCTCCTGGGGTTTCCAAGGCAGTACCACTACGGAAATAGATTGCCCTATCTTCCTTCCGAAGAGTGGCTGGTGGGTTTGAACTGCCAGCCTCTGGTTAGCAGTCAAGTGCCTTAGGCACTATGCTACCACAGCTCCCAAGACACGAATAGATCTTACCAATTCATTTACATGTTAAAAACAAAACTCAAAAACCAAAACCAAACTCACTGCCATGAGTGGAGGCAGTAAATTTTTACGGAAGTAGATTGCCCAGTTTTCCTTCCTGGGTGTGGCTGGTGGGTTTGAACCACCAACCTTCATGGTTAGCAGTCAAATGCCTTAGGCACTACACCACCAGAGCTCCTTGTTAAAGACAAAAGGCAATCAATTTAGTTACTAGTTTCACTTTAAAACATATTACTTCTTTTCCTTAAATAAAATGTATTCTATAATATCTAACTTAAGTTATTTCAAAAGATTTTATCTTCAAGGTTGTCATAATTTTTGTCAAAATAAGTTTATTTTATTAATTCTTTGTAATATTAGGACTAATTCATGTATTCATTATTAGACCAAATTTGAGCAAGTTCTTTGAAGAAATATTATCTGATTTAATAATATCATCCGGAGGTAAAAGTTACGTATATGAATATTCATAATTCTATCTTTTGCATGCTTTATAAGATTTTCTTGGAATAATTGGTTTCTTTTAAGGCCTTGTTACACCAATGAAAATAAGCAATTTTTTCAGTGCACTTTTCAAATGAACCAATTTGTATTAAAGTTTCTTAGAGTAGCTTCTGAAAGCCTAATTCATAAAATAGCCGCAAGAAGTAGTTTTATTTGGAGCTGAAGCTTAGAGCAACCTCTTGGCGATGCACAGAGGAAGATAAAGGAAACCAGACCTAATGCTCTTTAGATTAGAACAGAAGTCCTGTTTCCAGGTGACCTACCCCAGATTTTGTCCAAGTAGAGCCATCTTAGTGAAAAATCACATTCACTGTGTCTCTGAAGTCAGTTTAAACAACAGACTGACAACGCCTGTGCTCTTATTCACTTTATAATGAACAACAGTGTAACATTCTTAAAACAGCACAACACAAAACAAGGCATCACACACGCATACACGGGTAGCTATCAAATGTCAAGCTGTTTCAGTTAGGTCAACTGATTTTAAAATTTCTAGAGATGTCTCTTAGATTCAGTCCAACAATCTTTGTTCTAAAAGTGGCCACTGACTTTCTAAAGAATTCCTTGGTAATCATATGCCAAATGTCTAATGTATAAAACAGCAAAGGAGCCCCTAATGCTTATATATGTAAGCCACTGGAGTACTCGGAAAAGGTCCAGCCTGACCATGGCCTTCCCCATCTTACCAAGCAACAACTTGTGTTTCAAAGTTTCTATAAAACAGGCCAGGAGTTGCCCAAATCCCCTGCTGCAGATATTTCTTGCAAGAAATAGTACACATACAAAAAACATCAAATGGCAACATCTAAGGAGAGTGAAGCATTGCGTTTGAGCAACCCTCACCTAGATGTGCACAAAACCTAGGTATCATGCGAATCTGCAAAGAATAGACCAAAGCTTTTGCAAACATACTTTTAGTCAAAATCTCGTAGTGCTGCCACCAGTAGAGACAAACCACCTCTTGCAAAAGATAAACCAAAACCCCACACCACTGCCACCAATGGGGGCAAAACAAAACCTTTGTAAGAGACAAGTAGAGAAAGAGAAAAGAAAAAATTAAATGGCAAAGAAAAACTTATTAGGCCAGGGTTCAGCATGTAGGCCAGAGGTCAAATGTATAATTTCTTTTGAAATTTATAAATCTGCAGGTATAACCAAATATTTCTAGAGGTGCTAAAACACAATTTTCAAACATATGAAAATAAATGGAAAGAGAGTATTAAGAGCTCTCACGTGGAAAAGAAAAACCTACACACAGCAGCAAGACTTAATAAGGTCTCAGAAAGGCTCACCAAAACATCAAAATCCAAGAGTGCTTACCTTATAGGGTCCCTGGAGTTTGCAGAGACAGTGGGGTGCAAGAGATCCCTTTGGTACCTATCTGATCCTTGACCCCCAGGGGTCCTATATGGAAAAGATGGCTTTGGATTTCCATGACTATGCATTCTGTATTAGGGGAAAAGAGACCCCGAATTCAAGCAGGTTAAATAGAGATACTTTCCTTAAGCCTTGGACAGAACAAAGACAAAACAAAGACAATCATCCCGGATGAGGGAAACCATCAGCCTGAGAAAGCTGAATGGACTCCGCTGAGTGATAGCCATGTGGCTAGTTATATATGATTTTAAATCATCACAAACTTAGGGTTGGTGGTAGATAGATTCATCACTGTTACAGGCAGGATTACAGAAGCAAGGTAAAGACCATGATTGGGATTTGAAGATAGGAAATGGTTACAGGACTGGTTCTGGGCCTTGACTGCCTGGCTAGGTGGTGGTCCAGATAGGCTGTGACTCATGACCTTGCAACCTGAGTCTTCGTCACAAGGTGGCTGCTAAACAATACTAAGATCCCAATTTTAATTTAAATTAGAAAAGGACACTCTCAGGCAAGTTCCCTGTTTCTTTGTGAGAATATAATTTACCTTCTAGGAGCTCTGGTAGCATAGTGCCTAAGGTACTTGACTGCTAACCACAAGGCTGGTGGTTCAAACCCACCAGCCACTCCTTGGAAGGAAGGTTGAGCAATCCTAGTTCTGTAGTGATACCGCCTTGGAAACCCAAGGAGGGGTCACTATGAGTTGGGGCTGACTCCATGGCACATAACAACAACAACAATAATTTACTTTCAAATATACTCTTTCTGAGGGAGCTCTAGTAGTGTAGTACCTAAGGCACTTGACTGCTAACCAGAAGACTGGTGGTTCAAACCCACCAGCCACTCCTCAGAAGGAAGGTTGGGAGATCTACTTCCATAATGATACTGTCTCGGAAACCCAAGGAAGGGTCACTATGATTGGGTCGACTCCACGACACATAACAACAATAACTTCCTCCCTAAGCTTGTCTTTAACTTGTCAGAGCATAGCCACGATGATGGTTTAATGGTCAGAAAGAGACCAAATAGCATCTGAAACTTATGTCAAGCCTCAAAATGGAGTTAGCACTATAAACTACAACCTTTCACAACCCCAAGTGCTTTAGAATTTAAGCTCTCATACAGAGAGAATGGAGCTCTGGTGGCATAGTGCCTAAGGCATTTGACTACTAATCAGAAGGTTGGTGGTTCAAACCCACCAGCCACTCCACGGAAGGAAGACTGGACAATCTACTTCCATAGAAATGCCGCCTCAGAAACCCAAGGAGGGGTCACTATGAGTCAGATTCAACTAGATAGCAGTGAACTGGAATTTTTTTTTTTTTTCCCCCAGAGGAAATGCTAACTATTCATTAGCTGTGTTGGTGATGATAACCCACTGAGGGCCAGCCTAAACCCCCATGTAATGAGATTCTGGTGCTTTTCGTTCATTCAGATCAGAAGAAATCTGAGGACTCAACAACTCCACTGTCTCACATTTTCATCCCTACCTGCCTCATTGCCCTAGTTTTCATAGCTGCAATGACAGTCCTAAGAAAAAGGCTCTGCCGAAAGTTGTCTTGTAGAAGAGGTAAGTCAGTTTGATTCAGAGTCACCACGTTTATCCAGTGCCCACAGCATGAAAGCTTCTGGCTTGGTGCAGCAGGCCTGTGGCTTCCTATTTTCATGCTAAATCCAGGGCTTATCAACCTCCTTGGTCTTCTCCAGATGAATTTTTCCTGGAAGTTTCCCCTTAAACTCATCTTCAGGCAGCCACATGCCTTATACTGCATATTTTTTAGGGAATGTTTCATTTCCAAGGCTAAAATAGTTTGCTTTGTCTGTTGAGCCAAATGGGAGTTCTGGAAGCCTAGTGCGTAAGACATTTGACTGTTAACCAGAAGGCTGGTGGCTCAAACCCCCCAGCCACTCCTCAGAAGTTGGGCAATCTACTTCCATAGTGATACTGCCTAGGAAACCCAAGGAGGGGTCGCTGTGAATTGGATCTGACTTGAGGCAGTGAGTTTGGTTTTTGGTTTGGTTGAGGCAAGAAGTTGCAGCCTCATGGGAGCAATGTATCAAAGAGCAAACTGGAGCTTCTGTTAAAATTAAACCAGAATTTATTGAAGGAACAAAGCAATTCCAAATCGGGAAGCACTTCATGACAATTCAACAAAATGCTCTGCCAAAAGGAAATTTTCACAGAGCTTAAATACAGAAAATCTAGGCACTTACAAGAAAAAAAAAATAAATGATTAGTTGACATTTACAAAATCATTCTCTGACAAGACAAAAGACAATGGCCAGATGCCTTAAGCATTGTCTTGGTAATCATAAAGTTTGAGGCATTAAACAACTTAATCTATGGGTTTTAGAAGTGAATGGTCTTCCCAGGAGCAAGCCCCCTTGAGAGGAAGGAGGAGAGGGGACCCCACAGCCTTCCCTAGGTATGCTAGCTAGCTGACTTTTGAAGACCAGCTCAGAATAAGCAGTCATACACTCACTCACTCACTTGCTCGCTCTCTCGCTGCCATTGAGTCAGATCCAAGTCATAGCGACCCCTCCTTAGGTTTCTGAGGTGGTATCTCTACAGAAGTAGGTTGCCCAACCTTTCTTCTGAGGATTGGCTGGTGGGTTTGAACCGCCAGCCTTCTGGTTAGCAGTCAAATGCCTTAGGCATTATGCCACCAGAGCTCCCTTAGCAGTAGACAATAAAAATGGAGTCTAGCCTTGTAGCTTTTGCAGAAGTCTCACCTTATGCCAAGCACCTAATTCTTTTGAGCTCCTTCACAAATGTTATTTTGGCAATACAGACGGCTCTGTGCTGGGTGGGGTTTGACTAGTGGGAAGGATGATGGGCACTTGTTTGGGGATTCCTTCTCTTCTTATCCATCCTTTCCCATTCCAGATTTACCCCTTCCCTGCCCCCAGGAATCTGCATCACCTGGTTGCATAGTGAAATGAGGAAGGTTTGTGAAGCTGTTTGGAGGCGAGAGAGTCCCTGGCTGGCGGTACACTGAGGTCACCTGGTTGTATCTCCTTAACTCAATCCCATGGCATTGTGCCCACTGGGACAGAGGATCTGATTGTTCACTTGTCTACCTTGTTGTCCTAGGAGAAGCTCCCTGCTTGCAAAACCTCTGGAACGTCTGCAGGCCTATATGATGGTTTCTGAAATTGTTTCTTTCTCAGTACCCAGAAGCTCCCCCAAGATCTGCACTTGGCTTGTCGATAGAAAAGAAAATGACATCTGGAAATAATTTAGTAGGAGTGTGGGCAGTTACTATTTGAGGATTGGGGCTTGTAGGAAGTTGTTAGCCAATATTCACAGTCATAATTTCTATATTCACATCTGTCATGAAATAACTTGATGCTTTGTTTGTCTGTTGCCCTAATGTTCTGGTTACCTAGTGCTGCTCTGACAAGAAATATACCACAAATGGGATGGCCTTAACAAAGAGGAGTTTATTCTTACAATTTAGAGGCTTTAAGTCCAGGTTCAAAGTGCCAGGCTCTAGGGATTGGGTGAAAGCCCCTCAACCTTGGGATCCAACTCTGCCTCCTGCTCCCAGCCCACTGGAGCTAGAGGCATTTCTTCACTCAGAGAGCAGCTGGCTGCTGAGGCTGTGAAGCCCCAAGGTTGACAAGTAAAAAGGCACAGTCCTGATGTTACCAAACCACATGGCAGGCCATTAATTCAAGTCCCAAGGTCGGCAGAGCATGGCAGGCTGCTCAAGAAAGACATGGCTACATGCAGGGTCCAAGCATACCATAAACTAGAGACCATTTCCAAAGCTGCTGCTTATATATGGGAAGCAGACCATTGACCCAAAGGCAGCTGCTTGTGGTAGATCCCACCACGGAGTTGATTGCCAGTCTCATCAAGGGGAATAACTACCACCAGCTGCCCAGCCACTCAACCAGGCCCAGCCAAGTTGACACACAAACATAACTACTACACCTAAGTATATATTAAGTGTGGGCACTGACCACAAAAACCTAACTGTAGAATTTAAAGAACTGTATATAGAAGAGAGAGAGAGGAAGAAGGAAGGAGGAGGGGACAGAGAGAAGGAAGAGAAAGAGCAGAGAGAGTGAGAGAATGAATGAAAATGGAAGGGGAGAAGATTCAACCTAAGGAGAAGGAATTACATGGCCATGTTCCACACAAGGTTGACTTTTAAATAGAATCACTTCTGCAAATCTATGGCCTCAAAGGGCAGTGGCAGAAGCAGTGCATTAAAGTCTTATCTTTTGCCAATTATTTTTTTCTCTCCTGGAGCCCTCCCCTACAACTCTTGGAAAAACCTTATTTAGACTAAGGTTCCAGGCCTGGGGGCTGAGGAGCTCTAAATCACTTCAGAATTGAGGGCTCAAGTCATCTGTCCTTGCTCTTTTTGGATGAATGATGTGGAGGTAAAAAGGAGACTAACCTCCTTCATCCCAAATCCCAGGGTGTCTGTACCTCACTACACAGTCTGCAGTAGTTCAGGTCCCAATAGCAATTGAGAGAGATTGGTACTAGTAAGAGACTTAAGTGAAAATATTTGCAAATTATTATTTTTTTTTTTCCTTGTGATTTGGGTGAAAGTTTACAGAGCAATTTTCCATACAGCATTTCATACACATTTTGTTTCATGACATTGACTGCAATTGCCCACAGTGGAACAGCTCTCTTCCCACTTCCTCACCATAGTTACCTCTTCCCTGTGTCCTTGCTCCCCATGTACTCCCCACCTCCATCCTGAGCTATCTCCCAGTGCAAACACTGCCCTTCTGTTCTCCCACAATTGATCGATTGATCACTCTAAGGAGTGTTTCTACCTAATGTTCACCTCATATGCCTGTCTATTGTTTGGCTGGAAGCCATGGAAGTGAGTTCAACTCTAGACCTAAAGGGTAACTAGAGGGCGTAGTCTCGAGGTCTCCCAGGCTCTATCAGACCAGTAATACTGGTCTTTCCCCATGATTTTTTCACAGATTCTACATTATTCTTTAGTGTTACATATTATGTAATTGTGTGTATGTACCATAGTTTGGTTATCCATTCTTCTGTTGATGGGGACTTCTTTCCATCTCTTTGCTATTGTGAATACTGCTGTGATGAACACGAGTGTGAATATATCTGTTCTCGTCCCGGCACTCACTTCTTTAAGACATATACCTAGTAAAAGGATTGCTGGATCAAATGATATTTCTATTTCCAACTTTTTAAGAAGTATCCATACTGCTTTCCAAAGTGTTTGTATAATTTTACAGTCCCACCAGCAGTGCATGAGAGTCCCAATCTCTCCACATCCTCATCAGAATTTGTTATATTCTGTCTTGCTGTTAGTGCTGGGGTGAGATGGTATCTCATTGTTTTGATTTACATTTCTCTAGTGGTTAATGATCGTGAACATTTTTTCATGTATTCATTGGCCACCTGAATATCCTCTTTGGTGAAGTGTCTATTCATGTCTTCTGCCCATTTTTAAATTGAGTTCTTTGTCTTTTTGTTGCTGAGGTGTTAGAATTTTCTATAAATTTTAGAGATAAGTCCCTTGTCAGGTATGTCATTGCTGAACTTTTTTTTCCCAATCTGTAGGTTCTCCTTTTATTCTTTTGGAGAAGTCTTTGGAAGCGCATAAAAGTTTAATTTTTAGAAGGTCCCAATCACCTAGTTTATTTTCTGCTTTTTGTGCATTTTGGGTTATGCTTGATAGTCTATTTATGCCATAAATTAGGGCCCCCTAAGGCACTTGACTGCTAACCAGAAGGCTGGTGGTTCAAACTCACCAGCCACTCCTTGGAAGGAAGATGGGACAATTTACTTCCATAGTGATACTGCCTCGGAAACCCAAGGAGCGGTCACTATGAGTTGGGTCTGATTCAATGGCACATAACAACAACAACAACAAGTTTGCCCTTATTTTTTCCTTGAGGAACTTTATAGTTTTAGATTTCACATTTAAGTCTTTGATCCATCTGGAGTTAGTTTTTATACATGGTTTATGGTGTGAGGTATGCATCTTATTTCATTTTTCTGCAAATGGATAACCAGTTTTGCCAGCACCATTTGTTAAAGAGATTATCTCTTCTTCCCCATTGAATGGATTTGGCCCTTTGTCAAAAATCTGCTGACCATAGGTCAACGGATACATTTCTGGGTTCTCAATTCTATTCCACTGATCAATGTGTCTGTCGTTGTACAAATACCAAGCTGTTTTGACTACTGTGGCTGTATAGTAAATTTTGAGATCTGGAAGTGTGAGACCTCCTACTTTGTTCTTCTTTTTCAACAGTGCCTTGCTTATCAAGGTCTCTCCTTTCCATATAAAGTTTTTGATTGATTTTTCCCTATCCTTAAAGAATGTTGATGGGATCTGGATTGGAATTGCATTGACTATATAGATTGCTTTGGGTAGAATTGACATTTTCACAATGTTCAATCTTCATGTCTATGAGCATGGTATGTTCTTCCATTTATATAGATCTGTTATGGTTTCTTGAAGTAGTGTTTTGTACTTTTCTTTGTACATGTCTTTAGTGTCCCTTGTAAGATTTATTCCCAAGTATTTTCCTATTTTGGTAGCTATTGTAAATGGTTTT